CAACGAGAGGAAATTTGGAGTCTATGATCCCCTGAGCCCCTGAGAACCAGAACCCTGGGGTAGAGAAGGAAATTCAGATGTGATCCAAAAGAGACTGAATGAAAATGCTAGTTGTTAATTTGAATTGTGAATACCTATATGAACTCACATGTATTTTACTCTTAAAAATACAGGTGGATAGGTGGGTGCACTAGAGCATGCCTGTTATCTACAATAACTTGGGAGACTGAGAAGGATCAAAAGTTTGGGGCCAGCCTTGGCAACTGAGGAAGACCCTGTCTTAAAATAAATAAAATAAAGGATTGGGAATGAAGTTCAGTGGTAGAGTTCTGGGTTCAATCTCTAGTACCAAAAACAAACCCAAAACTGAACAGGTGCATGGTCTTGTTATCTCAGGCAGCCTATATACATATACATCCACTGTTTCCTAGCTCTGCCACCTAAAACATGTAGAAACAATGACCAGCCTGTATTCGTATTATGCACGATGAAGGTCTAGAAACACCCCCTCCCATGAAGGAAACCATCCGTCCTGGAGGCTGGGCAATGCAGGAAGTGCACTGGTGGGTTGAGTATCCTGACCCAGACAGCAAGGTGGCCATCAGCATCAGTGGAGGCCAGTCAAAAGGATGCAGAAGTCAACTTGAAGAGGGTCCTGCTGGCCAAAGGCAGGCCAATTTGCAGGTAAAAAAAGGATCAGAACAGCAGCAGATCAAAATTCATCAAATGCATTTAAATTCTTGAGTTCATAAAAATATTAAATTTTTTTAAAAGTTACTTCATCACCTTCTCATTATAAAAACGATTCAGCTCTTTATCTTCAAAACTAAGTAAACAAGACAGAAATGTCAAGCATTTATCCCTTCTCTATACTGGGTGGTCAAGTGGCACCCCAGGTGTGTGCTCTCTGCACCCCTTCCATTCATATGGCCAGCAAATGACCCTAGTGATAAAAACAGTAACACCAACAGAGGTTGGACCTGAAGCCTGCAGATGGCAGGTGCAGCTATAATCAGGGTCAGAAAATGGGCAAGACTAGATTATGGCGGTTATACCACAGTCAGACCTGGTTGATAAGCCATATAAATAACAAATACAGTTTTTGAGGGAAGAGGCTGTTTAGGATTGAGGTGCAAAGCGGGGGCTTCTAGGATTATTGACAACTGGTAGTTTTTGATCTGGATGGTGACAGCCAGTTCAAAACATTTCTTTATATTCTATTTGCTTCCCACATCTGAATTTATTTCAGAGTAATGAGCTAAAGAAAGCCACTTATGCTTGTTACTCTTCAGGTACTGTTCTATATTCTTTGTAGTCCTGTACGTGAATTCATTCTATTCTCCCAGTAACTACAGGGATACTTCTCACCTCCATTTTTTAGAAGAGAGGAGAGAGATCAAGCTATAAAAATGTGTGGAAAGGGGCTGGGGATATAGCTCAGTTGGTACAGTGCTTGCCTCCCATGCACAAGGTCCTGGGTACAACCCCCAGCACTAAAAAAAAAAAAAAAGCGTGAAAGGATGCTCACCTCATTAGTAATCAGACAATACAAATTCTATCCAGATGCCACTGTCCAGTTTTCAACAGGCACAAATCTGAAGGTCAGACAGTATGACTGTGGGCAATAAGAAGAGCACTAAGAATGAGGCACTTCAGGAGGTGAGAAAGTGCGTGCTCTCTGCACTGACCCAGGCACATACTGACTCTCCACAATGCTTACATGCTGGGGAAATGTTTCTTGGGTGCAAAATAACATGCACTAGGATAGTCACCACTTGTTGTTTGCAATAAATGAAAGCTGAACACCATCAAAGCAGATAGAATAAGATGTGGCATACTCATATGAGGGAAAGTAACAGTACCTGAACAGAAAAGTTTCATAAATATCAACTTGTTCATCTCTCAAAACATACTGAAGCTGGACACAGTGCCCCATGCCTGTAATCCCAGTGGCTCAGGAGGCTGAGGCAAGAGGATTGCAAGTTCAAATCTAGCCTCAGCAACTTAGAGATGCTAAGCAACTCAGTGAGACCCTGTCTCTAATAAAACACAAAATAGGGCTAGGGATGTGGCTCAGTGGTCTAGTGCCCCTGAGTTCAATCCCCAGTAACACCCCCCCCCCAAAAAAAAGCACAGTACATACACCACTTACAGACAGACATCTGTAGAGGATCATCATGTACTAGAAGGGTATATACCAAGTTTGGTGACAGCAGTCTCTCAGGAGGAGAGTAAAACAGAGAGATTGGGGGTAGAAAGGTACTTTATATTATTGGTACCATTTTATTTCTTTTATTTTAAAAATTACAAGCTGGGTACAGTGGTACATGCCTGTAAGCCCAGCTACTGAGGAGGCTGAAGCAGGAGGATAAGTTTGAGACCAGCCTCAGCAAAATAGCAAGACCCTGTCTCAAAATAAAAATTAAAAAGACTGGGGCTGTAGATCATTGGTACAATCCCCAATATCTATCTATCTATCAATCAATCAAGATGGAGATGCAGCTCAGCAGTAGAGCACCTCTGGGTTGAATTTCCAGTACTTCAAACCATCTTCATCATCATCATTATCATTGTCCAAAACAAGTCCAAGAAAACAACTTAGCCTGGGGTGCTGGCGAGGCAAGTGTTTGTGAGATGCTTCAAAGTCTTCAGATTGGACCTAAAGCTGACAGAGGAAGCACTGGGGCTGGTGACCTTGGGCAACTTAGTGCTTCAGAGCCCATCTCTCCATCTGTAAAATGGAGTGACTGCAGTGGGGGGGGGGTGACGTTAGCACTGCAGGGCTTACCTATAGTGTTGCTGCATAGGTCAGTGAGCATGTGCAAATCTCTTGGAACAGCACCTGAGCCAAAGGAAACAGGCCAGCAGCAAACTAGATCTCCCATTGTAGGGTACACAATGCAGGAACTTGGTAACCCCCAGAGACAGTGGCAAGAAGATGATCTAGCTGCTGGTTACACAGACATGTCCACTTGGTGAATATAGATGACAGGCACCTTTGTGCAGGGGTGGGAGAGGAGGGTGGGGAGAGAGGAAGAGAGGGAGGAAAGGAGGGAAGAAGGAAATGAAAAAAATGTGCCAAGAGTCTACTAAGAAATATGATATCCAGCTAGGTGCAGTAGCATAAACTTATAGTCCCAGTCATTCAGGAAAACGGCAACTTAGCAAGATCATATGTCAAAATCAAAATCAAAATGGGTGAAGTACAATGTAGCTCAGGGCTAGAGTCAACTAAGGTTCAATCCCACACAGCAAAACAAAACAAAAAAGTCCAGTAGTCATCCTGAACTACTGGCTTAAAAGAAAATCAACTATGAAAAGTTTTAGTGAATACTCCTTCTAAAGATGAAGTAAAAACAAAACTATGTGTTAAGGGAAAAAAAAATAGACACCATGGCAGTAAATGAGGGCATTTGCATTCGATGAGGTGATGCCATCCCATTCCTGAGATGTAAAGATGCGGACATTATTTATTCAATATCCTCATCAAGTAGATCATAGGTGCACCCTGAAACACTTACGGGCAAAAATAAAAAAGGAACTTCTGGAATTTGCTTTAAAATAGTCCAGGGGGGAAAAAAAGGTAGAGCAAAGGAAAATAGATGTAAAATTGGAAAATGTGATAAATAATGAAGCTGGCAGTTGTCACTGCTCTAATCTTGTGCATGTTTGAAAACTCTTGTAAATCCCGGGGTTTGAGGTGCAAGTCAGTGGCAGAGCGCTTGCCCAGTATGTGGATTGATCCTCGACACCGCCAAAAAAAAAAAAAGCTAATTTTAAGGTTCACTCTGGAGAGTAAAGTGATGATGGGCAGGTATTGTTCTTTACAATATAAATCCAGACTTATTGATTTCTCCAAAAAAAAAAAAAAAAAATCCAAGTAAACATGAGGCTGGGGCTTGGTGGTAGAGCGCTGGCCTAGCATGGATGAGACACTGGGTTTGATCCTCAGCACCACATAAAAACAAATAAATAAAATAAAGGTACGTGTTCATCTACTACTAAAAAAGAAAATTAAAAGAAAAATAAAAGTCCGAGTAAACACCTCACCCCGACACCGCTGCAACTCCCCAGGCAGGGCAAGGCCTCACCTGCAGCTGTCCTTGAAGCGGCACTTCCCCTCCAGGAAGAACGGGCAGGGCTTCAGGGACTTGTGAGTGGGGTAGAGGTAGAGCACGCGCACGCCCGCCGAGCCGTCCTCGGCCGCCTCGGTGCCCACCACCATGGCGTTGTGATACTCCAGCGTGCCCCACGCACTGCGGTAGGGGGCGTTCACTTTGGCGCCGCTCAGCTCTCCCGGGTCCGGGTCCGGGTCCGGGTCCGCGCGCCCGGGCTCCGCGGGTCCCGGCCCCGCCTCTCCCTCCGGGGCCATCTCCGGGCCGGCGGGCACCCCCGCGGCCTCGGCGTCCAGCGCGGCCAGCAGCTTGCTCTTGCGGACGGACACCAGGCTGGCCTCGGTGAGCCCGATCAGCTCGCGCAGGTCGGCCTGCAGCTGTCGCAGGTCGGCCTGCTCGGCCGCCTCCAGGCCGGCCCCC